GCAGTGCACTATCTTTCTTTCACTAATTTGTTGAACTTTTTACTTTGAGTGTTACTGGATTTCGTGGAAGCACTTCCCAACTGATAGCTATCACCTTGACATGGTTGTCAGGCTTGCCTATCACGACCACTCAACGAAATATGCTTGTAGAACACTTGTTCTCTCCATGTCCTAAAATACCAGAAAAATCAATTCAATAATGGCAAGACTAAAGGCACTTGTTGTCTCCGTGTAAAATGCCACACTGTGATGGGGTTCCGAAAGCGAATTCATAGTGATAGCTGGAGGGGGTGCGACAGCACTAAGATGTTCCCCGTAAATTACCAGTAGACTATGGGGATGCTACCCTCCCTATGAAAGCTAGAAAAGGTTGACCCTAAAAGTAACACACTCGGTTCTACCCTGCGGCCTACCGGAGCCAGTAATATGGGTTCATATTCAGAACCAACAAAAACTGTCAAACTTCTAAAAAGGACGCGTGTGACCAGCTTTCGGCGTTACTGTGCGTCATTTTTACTGCACTTCAATGTGTCTCCAACCAACATATTTTACCGCCTTTCCTATCACGTTAGCAGGATCCCATTCTTGGACAGTGGTTAGACGAAAAGCAGTTACCGTCGTGGTGTAAATTACTACACTATGATACAGGTCGGAGGGCAAAGTCATACTGCTGCTAGCTGGATGGAGTATGACAGCAGTAAAATGTTTCCCTTGGAAGACCAGCAGTACCATGCTGATGCTGCCTTCTCAGTGGAAGGGGGGAGTGTTAGAAAAGGTCGGCCCCAAAAATAACACACTCCATTATATCTCACTGTCTGCCGGGCCTACAGTGTTGGTTCATTTGTCATTTCTTTCCGACCATCCGGCCCCAGAACAACTAAAGTTCAAACTAATCATATACAAAAGGCTGAGTGTGACAGGCCTCAAGCAGGTGTCCGATGGGCTCTGCAGTCACACAAATCTCTTTCAGGTACCTTGAGAAGAAACAGCCTTCCACGGTGTGGGCAACTGTGAAGTGTGAACCGCCCTCACAAATCTCTCAGCACTCAAGTTTCCTCAGACTGCTATCCATCTCCTCCATCATTATCTTCTAATCTTCCTTCGCGTGTTTCAATTAACGATACTGCATTATCTTCAATTTCTCCTAGCTCTGTAGCCTTCGATAACTATTTGAGTCCACAGAACAGCATCCTTGGTTTCCTTAAACCACGCTCCAAATTACATATTGGAGCCTTCAAGGTCCTCACCCTCCCTCAAATTGGTCAACAGGACTCATTGGCAAAGACTCTAGCAACTCGGGGTATGGATGTGTGGTGTGTTTGTGAGATACACACACACGTAGAGGACTCAAGTGCGATTATTCACCTGACCTCTCTCCGTCACTATGGTGAATCCGCGAAATTGAGCCTTCGAGTTACTGGAGATTCGATAGCTAGCTCTCGTGGTCTTGCAGGTGTAGGCATGGCACTAAGCATTAGGGCAAAAAGTTCACTACTAGACTGGATCCCAGTTGATAGTCGTCTCTGCACTGTGAGGCTGAACGGCACAGTGAGAACCAAAAGGAATGGTGAAACTCACCGTTGTCTCTTTGTAATCTGTGCATACGCACCCACTGAGTGTAGTTTGGATGAAGTGAAGGACGAGTTCTACCGTAAACTGTCTAGCCTCCTCCCGAAAGCCAAACATTCGGATGTGGTGGTTGTTGCAGGTGACTTGAACGGGCATCGCATGTGAGTAGACTGAGTGAGGCAGAAAGGCACTTAGGTGTTACTTTTGGAGTCCCGGCTGAACGAACAGATAACGGTGATCGCCCACTACAGCTGTGCTCAGATAACTGCCTGTTTTTAGCTGGCACAAATTTCAGACATAAAGAAAGTCACTGCCTGACGTGGCGTCCGCCGAGCTCAACTCAGCGATGGTCTCAGATAGACCACATTGCTGTTAGTTATCGCTGGAGAGGATCAGTGGGAGACTGCCTCTCCTTCTGGAGTAGGTGTTTGGATAGCGACCACGCGTTGGTCTGAGCGCATATATGCCTGGGTCTCAATGGAAGTGAGAAGAAGTTAGCAACGAAACCACTACAAGTGCTGCTGGACAATGGAAACATCAAAGCTGTGTTCAGTGAGAAGTTTGCTAGACAGACAGTTATCGGAACAGAAAACTATCACTCATCCAGAAGAGCGAGTAAAACTTAAAAGTAGACTGAAAAAAGTCTGCGCAACAACCGACAACAGTGGTGGGCAGCGAAGGCTAAAGAGATGGAAAGGCGGCGGCGATTGGTAACAGTAGACAGTTATTTAGACTTATCAAGCAAACTGGGGAACCTCGCCTGGTTAACTAGTTTACTAGTTACTAGCCGGTCCTAAGCCCGGGTAAAGAGGGAAGGTTGGGCATAGGGCTAGCAACCCTACCCCGTAAAACAAATCTAACCGCTAAACAAACTTCAAAGCACAAACAAAATATAAAAAATGAAAACAAACTTATTCCCCGCTGGAATCGGAGAGGCGAAATGACGCCAGTTGGTGAAAGCCTTCGGGAAGCCAATTGGCCGATGTGCTCTTCTCTCGATGAAAGCGAAAGTAAACGTGGGGACATGGAATGTCCGCACGATGTTTGAACCCAGTAAGGCAGCCCAGATTGCAAAGGAGATGAGAAGGTATCACATCGAAGTGCTTGGGATTTGCGAAAGCAGATGGAATGGGAGTGGACTCTCCAAACTGTCAACTGGAGAGTCAATAATCTACTCCGGTCACCCAGACGCCAACCACGAGCACACTGAGTTGGAGTGGCTATCATGATGTCCTCAAGAGCATCGAAGGCTCTCATGCAGTGGGAACCAATCTCCTCCAGGATCATGACAGCAAGATTCAACTCAAAAGGAAGAAAGGTCACAATCATACAATGTTATGCACCTACAAATAATGCAGAGCAAGAGAAAAAGGAGGATTTCTACAGACAACTCCAATCAACACTGGACAAGACGTCAGTTGGCGATATCAAAATTCTAATGGGCGACATGAATGCCAAACTGGGAGGGGACAACACAGGAAGAGAACTAACCATGGGTCGAGAGGCGCTAGGTGAAATGAATGAGAATGGAGAATTGTTTGCAGAATTCTGCGCATTCAACGATTTGGTGATTGGAGGCAGTGTGTTCAGGCACAAAGATATCCACAAAGCGACATGGATTTCACCAGATGGACACACTAAAAATCAAATCGACTTTATCTCAATCTCAAGAAAATGGAGACGCAGTCTACTTAACACAAGGTCAAGAAGAGGAGCAGATGTAGGTTCACACCACTATCTAGTGCAAGGAACCTTCCAAATCAAGTTAAAAGCCTTCAAGGAAGCTGGTGATAGACCTCAATTCAAGTACAACACTCGGAAACTGAAGGATGAAACTACAAAGGAAATCTTCAAGGCAGTCATCAAGACAAAATGGGAGACATCGAGCAACATCCCTGAAGAAACCTGTGTGGAAGAACACTGGAAGTCTTTGAAAGCTATGTGGAAAGAAACCTGCACAACAGTATTAGGAAGGAAGAAGAAAGAAGATAAGGAATGGATCTCGACGGATACCTGGAAGCTGATAGAGGAGAGGAGGATGGTGAAGCAGAAGATAAACCAGTGCAAGGATGCTCAACGACAAGAGGAACTGAGCACAATGTATAAAACACTGGACAAAGAAGTGAAGAAGAGTGCACGGAAAGACAAAAGACACTTCTACGAAACACTGGCAAGTGAAGCAGAACAGGCTGCAGGTAAGAGAGACCTGACGACATTGTATCAAATAACCAGGTTGCTATCAGGGAAGAGACCAACACAGATGAAACCAATAAAAGATGAAGAAGGAAATTTAATTACAAAAGAAGAGAAACAGAGGAAACGATGGGCCGACCACTTCAAGAAGCTCTTGAATCGACCACCACCTGCACTTCGTCCAGAAATACCACCTGCAGCCGCTGAATTACAAGTGAATATTAATCCCCCAACGAAAATGGAAGTCCTGAACGCCATAAAGCTACTGAAATGTGGGAAAGCAGCAGGACCAGATGGAATACCGCCAGAAGCACTGAGAACAGATGCAGAGACAACAGCGGACATGCTCACACCACTATTGCAGAAGGTGTGGAAGGAAGAGAAGGTACCTGTCCATTGATGGAAGAAGGGTTACCTTGTCAAACTCCCGAAGAAGGGAGACCTCAGTGCTTGCAAGAACTGGCGCGGAATCACTCTCCTGTCCACCCCAAGCAAAATATTAAGCCGCATCATCCTGGAGAGGCTTAAAGACGCACTGGATTCAAAACTGCGACCGGAACAGGCAGGCTTCAGGAAGTACAAATCATGTGCAGACCAAATTGCAACGCTTCGTATCATCATAGAACAGAGCATAGAATGGCAATCAGCTCTCTACCTCAACTTCATCGACTTTGAGAAGGCCTTTGACAGCGTCGACCGAGAAGTAATTTGGAAACTGCTTCAATACTACGGAGTACCGCAAACCTTTATCCGCCTCATTCAACAACTATATGAAGATGCCACATGCCAAGTAATTCACAATGGGAAGCTCAGTGATGCCTTTGAAGTGAAGACAGGAGTGAAACAAGGTTGCCTACTATCCCCCATGATATTCCTTATTGTGGTGGACTGGATCATGCAGCAAACAGTAGGCAGCGAGAAGAGGGGGATACACTGGACGACGGAAAAGAACCTAGAAGACTTGGATTTCGCCGATGACTTATGCCTGATGTCACATAAACTTGAAGATCTGCAGGCAAAAACTAACAAGTTGATAGAAGAGGCAGCGAAGACGGGACTTCAGGTGAATATAGAGAAGACAGAAGTGATGAAGATACCGCACCACCACCATCAACAACAACAACAAACTCCAATCACCGTCAACGGGAGAAACTTGAAGGAAGTAACCTCCTTCACTTATCTAGGAAGCACTGTTTCAACTACAGGCGGGACAGACGAGGACGTCAAAGTCAGAATCGGAAAAGCAAGACAGGCGTTCATTAGCCTGAAACCAGTGTGGAGATCTCCTGCACTCAGCATGCGGAACAAGATACGGATTTTCAACACCAACGTCAAGTCAGTGCTCTTGTATGGCTCAGAGACTTGGCGCGTCACGAAAGGTATTTCCAATAAACTACAGACATTCATCAACAACTGCTTACGCTCGCTGCTGAAGATCAGATGGCCAGAAAAAATAAGCAACAAGGAACTCTGGGAACGAACCAACCAAGAACCTATCACGCAACAAATATGCAGGAGGAAGTGGAGATGGATTGGCCATGCACTGAGAAGGCCGACTGAGGACATCACGCGTCAGGCCCTCGAGTGGAATCCCCATGGGAAGCGACGAGTTGGACGTCCGAGGGTGACATGGAGGAGGTCGTGCGAGGAAGAAATGAAAGCTTCTGGGCTGTCGTGGGACCAGGTTCAAAAGATCTCAGAGAACAGAGGTCACTGGAGGCGTGCTACTGAAGCCCTATGTTCCACTAGGAACCCAAGGGACTAATAATAATAAGCAAACTGGGGGGGGGGGGGGGGAAGGTTGACTGCTTTAGTGAGACTATGGCGGAGAAGGATGGACCTGCGATTCGCTCTCAGGGGACACGACTGGAACGAAGAACAGTTTAATTGACCTCCAGCCACCAATGGGTTGCCCGCTATCCAGTCGAATCCTGAATGGAACATTTAGATAGGCCCCGAACACCAGGAAAAGTCTAGAAAGGGGCAGCAGGACCAGATGGACTAACTTCCGAGGTATATAAGGACGGTGGTAAGTTGCTCTTAGGTTAACGGAAGTGTTAACCAGTATATATGAATCAAATATGGTCTCCTCTGATTGGTTTAAATCACTGATTATCCCAGTCCTCAAGAAAGGCGAGAAGTCCTCTTGTGATAACCACAGAGGAATCAGCCTGACGAACATACTGTCCAAGATCCTACGCTCTATGATTTTTCGACGCCCGAGTGGAGCTCGGGAACAGCAAGCCCAAGAAAACCAGGCAGGCATTCTTAAGACGCGGCCGCGGGTGTATCCACCGAATATTCACATTGCACCAATAGGTTCTGGAACACAGGCACGCTTACCGACGCCCGACACTAGCTGTATTTCTCGACATGAAGGTGGCGGCACTCGACTCCGTTGATTGAGAAGTCTTATGGCAATGTCTCTCACTGAAAGGCGTGCCGAGTAAGTACATCACCTTATTGAAGGCTCTCTAATGGACCACTCGTTGGCGTGTTAGAGCCTATGATGAGATGTCTAGGGAGCTATGCTCATCGAGTGGTGTCCGTCAAGACTGTCCACTGTCTCAATTCTTATTCAATTTTATCATACATGTTCTTATGGAGGTCTCCTTCTCGTCACCAGGTTACACAGAGGTTGACCTAATCACAGGAGAAGGTTCGTTAGACCTGGAATACGCAGATGACATAGTCGTGTTAGGTGAAGACGCTGACGAGATGCAGAGTCTTCTGAACACTTTGAGTGGGAATTTGAGAATGTTTGGAATATGGTTCTCACCACCTAAATGCAAATTGTTGCTCCAGGATTGGTCTTCAACAATGCCCCATTGCGGCTAACAATAGAGAGTGTAGTGATTGAGTGTGTCTACCACTTCACTTACCTGGGAAGTGGGGTCAGCCCTGGTGGCTAACTCAGTGGCCGATGAAATCTCTGCACGGATACAAAGGGCTTGGCTGACTTTGGTCAACTTACGCCATGTATGGCGCTGCCGTGATATCTGATTGTGTATTAAGGGTCGCATGTACTGCACATCATTCCAGTCTGTTTTACTGTATGGCTGTGAAACATGTCCATTGAAGGTGGAAGGCATGAGAGGGCTTGAAGTGTTTGACTACCGTTTCCTTCGTAGTATAGGCCGTATTCCATGGTGTCATCACGTGAGTAGTGCAGAAGTTAGGTGTAGAGTTTTATGGAGAAGAGGTGATTCGGTTGACGAGGTTATGAACCTTGATCGACTGAGACGGTTGGGACACGTATTACGTATGCCTAGTCGCCTATTGCCTCGTCACACAATGTTGGCCGAAGTAGGTTCAGGCTGGAAAAAGGCCTGAGGTGGCCAAACTGAAACATGGCATGAAGCTATGAAGTTGTTGAGTGTTGGTTTGAGCCATGTGGGGTGAAGCAGACTAGGTGGTTGGGGTCGGCGGGACAAGAGGAAGCAGTGGTTGGAGACTCTGGGTGATATGGTTGAGTACCGATGTGAGTGGCGCAGATGTATACACACACTATCCTCATGTTAACGACGCTATACCGAATCTCACCATTTTCCCATTCTTTATTTCTCTCTTTTCGTACTTTATATATTTTCTGACTGAATTTTTTTATCTTCATCTTTCAGTTGACTGCCTTTTTACTTGATGTACTGATATGAAGTGTGGCAACGCGAACCGTTACACAGTAATGCCTGGTCGTGGTCCTGTTTTGATATTGATGATGTGGTTGATTGTGTTTACCATTTTACTTACTTACTTGGAAAGTCGGTACAGCCCTGGAGGGTTTTTTTTTATATACTTTCCCCAACTGTGACACCGTTAAGATATTCAATCGTTTGCTAAGGGTGGAGTGTATTGCGCAGCAGCTTGTTCTATTCCACTATATAGTTTATAGTTATGGCTTTATCTTGTTTCTCTTTATGACTTTCTTCGACTAATGATTATTCCATTCTACTTTGTTTTTCAGGCGTGTCGCATTGAAACGTTATTACTTACTGATAACATCTCGGTTATAAATTATTACGCATAGAAGGAGAACCATATAGAGCATTTCTCACAGTTGTGAAGTTACCTTGACATGGCATTTAATTGTATCCGAGACGGTATCCAGTAAATAACGACATTGTTTCACTGTGTGATTCATCTAACAAACCAAGTAAAATGGAATTACATGCCACCACAATGCCCAAGTTATGCTTTTATATTGATAATTCTCATTGATTCTCATTTTGTTTTCCATGTCGTTGCCTTTTACTAACCGGTGAGTCATGATCCTCTGGAGATATTATAAATGTGCGGACTTAAGCTACACTTCTAACTGTCAATTGAAGAAGAATACAATTTTCCTGAACTTATTTTTATAACACGTGACTTTTCATATGCTTATAAAAGTGGTCGGTCCCCTTCATTTTCCCCGTTTGTGTTGTTATAATCCGCTCCATTTTTATTTTCTCTGCACACTCTCCACGTCTCTCAATTTAATACTTTTCTCACCACTTACTGACTTTCAAATTACTACCTAGTATCTGTTCGTTTCTCACGGCACTTCACTAATAAACTCTGAGGGATTCTGTGGTGATTTCATACTAACCCTTTTGTCCAAAAGTAGATTTCTACGTAAAAATAATCCAAGAATGTTCAGAAAATCGAAACAAGATTCTTATATTATCTAGATATTTATAATCTAACTAATGGGAATTTTCAGGGAATCAAGTAAATTTATTTGTTCAGGGAAACTGTAAATATGGTTAGAGAATTAATATAACTGAAAAAAATCTGTAAAATTTCCTTCTGTGCTCGGTTCAGATATACATAACTGTAGAGAATCAGTGTTTCAGTTGGTCAGCTGTGGCTAGTGCTGTCCAGTGGTAGCATTTTTAGACACGACTGCCCTACTAGAGTCCGATTCTTATAGAGGGCATAAATCTCAGCAAGATTGTAAATTTGCTTTACTGTTAAATAGTAAAAACACGGAACTCAAAGGCAAGTGATTTTGTCAAACTATTCAATGCATGTTCATTTATTAATCGAGTGAGCATAAAGCTACTGAATGTATACTTTAGTATTGTTTCTAGAAAGGAATTTTCTATTTTTTACTTATTTGCTATTATTGTACTACCTCTTGCAGTATTGGTGGAACAGTCGGCGCTGTTTTAACCTGTCCATTAGAGGTTGTTAAAGTTCGTCTTCAATCATCAAAAGGATTTGTACTATCTACTTCTTCGCTCAGTTCGAACCTCTCTTCAGACCCTTGTCGCAGTCTTCATTTTTCACATACTAAATATCTGCTATCTAGTGAAAGACAAAGTCAAACAAATGGTCAGAGATTCGATACAGATCGCAAATCGGTGAATTTTCTGCATAATAATTCTACAAAACCTCCGATATTTGACATTCCCAATGAATCATCAAGTCCTAAACCCTCTGGATTCCGAAGGTCTGTTATTCTTCGTTCATTGATTGATATTTGCCGTTTGGAAGGACCTACAGCCTTATTTAAAGGTCTTCTTCCTACCCTTGTTGGAGTATTGCCATCACGGTTAGTTCAATATATTTTTGTCGAAATTTGACTGTGTTTTGAAAATATCAGCGTACCTTCTTTATAATACTCCTAGTCTTCGTTTAGCATAACATCCTTTGGTTGGTTGGAAGTAACCGGGAGGAAGTCCTGCTTCACCTAGACTTCGCACTTGTTAACACTCGTTAACAGGGCGTTTCTGCAATCTCGGGCGAACTGGCTTTCCCTCTAAGATCCTAGCCGTCTTCATCCAGTGCTTCATTCGGTGACGTTACCATTGAGATATTTGGGTCATAGTCCACCTCCCGTAGGATTGGATTAAATGTATTGTTAACTATAGTGTTTTATAAGTGTCAATCATTGAAGTTTTTTTAGTGTTGTTCATCATGTTTAGTAACCACTGAGTTGAAGAACTGAGTACTGATGGTGTATATTAAAAAGAAATCGAACCTAGTAAACGCGAGCACTGAGCATACCTAATGTCTGAAAGTTAATGATACTAAATGGCTGCTCAAACTCGGTGGGCGGGGCTGGGTTCGAACCCATGGGTTGAAAGTCAAGTGCCTAAACTAATGGTTTATAACTTCACATAGTTAACACGATGACTTGTTATTTTCCTGTTGTTGATTTACTCGATCGAATGAGTCGACTTCTGTGAATACAACGTTTCTCTGTTGAGATGCCTTTAGTTTTTCAAACGAAGGGTACACTCAATATTAGCAACTATTGTACACATTTTTTCCGTAAACATCTAATAAAACAGTATTATAGCAAAAGCAAAGATAGTATTACATTATTTGATAAAAATTCACTGAATGTCTAGTGCTGTTGCTGTTTTTGTGTGAGTCCGACACAACCTAGTTTAGGTACATATGCACTACTGGACTATGAGCCATGATTTGTTTGTGCGTTTGTGTGAGGGTTGATACTACCCAGTTGTCCAGGTTAAATTAAGTGGAATGGTATGTATTCATGGATTGTCTCGAATGTGTGTGTGAGTGACACCTCATTTCCCTATTTAGTGAAATACTTGTACAACCTTTTCCGTTACACCGAAATTTCACCTTCTAATATTGATTCAATAATGTTTCAAAGTGTTAAAAATTCCCATTATGAAAATCGTAACAAGACATATAAGCGAACAATGTTGTCTTCAATTAGATCTCATCAGGCTTCACTTTAATGCACAACTTTCAATATATTAATAAAATATAAACCAATCAAGGTAATTTGTGAGTCAGCGATAACAAGAATATGGATTGTGCACCTTAAAATAGTAAAATTAATGTTAGTGTAAAGGATAATACGAATGTTCATAATGACACGACAGTGTGAACAATTGTTCAGAACGCCTTACAGACGGTAAATAGCAACCCACTTGTATTTACGAGGTAAGATGTAGGATAACAAGTACCTGGGAAATGTTGTATCCATACACTCTATTCGAACAACGCAACTTTCGAAACTAAACAAAATTGTGATGCATTCACTGACAATAACTTCTCCATATTCTTTCTGTACAACATCCGAAAGAAGTACAACAGCACCTCCGGTTGTAATCTGTGCAAACATTAAAATTTTCTTGATAATTTGGTACACAGGCTTACCCTTTTGATCACGTTGCAAATGATATGCATACGATACAGGAGGTGAGTGGGGGAAAACGTGGCATAATGCAGACACACTTTCAGGACAATCATCTGTTATAAAAGCACTCATTCGACAACTCCCAATAACATTCTTAAAAAATCTCAGAAATTCACCAGTCACTTCTGCTGTCTTGTTGTTTATGATAGCAAAATATATGAGGATAGCCATGAAGTTGACGTCGATGGCTACGAATTTGTAGAGAAAAACGTTCTCATTATTAGTCTTATAGGTGCCATCGAAACCCAGAAGATCAAAACGATTGTCAGCAGATTTCAGTTGGTCTGCTGTGACAAAGAAAAAGTATTTCAGATCTCCATCCTCTGTGACAGAGTAGGATGCCTATTCACCTTGACTAATTTTGCGCTCCTGCAATTTTTCATAACTGCCTATAACAAAATGGTTTCACGGGAAAAGTCGCATACCGGTCAAATTACACTGAGCGAAGAGGCGATAGCGCATATTGAACACATCTTGATTATTCAGTCGTTTGTCATGGTATGGATCAACAAAATCACTAACATCAAATGCAACCGTACCGGATATTAGCAATGGTCTTATGCAGTCCAATTCAACTCCCGTCAACTTCCTAGCCAAAGAACTACTGTCATAAAAAGCAGAAAGTTGCAGGGATGATTATGAATTAACAACCACTGAGTTACTGTCCAGAAACCTTCTAAAAACTTGGCGATTACGAACGCCGGACGACAGCATTTCAAGAATATTCAATACAATATGTATCGAAAACAAACAGGACTGGTCTTCTTGTCACTATACCATCTATTGGCCGGTGTCCACTAGCCTTAAAACAAACAAACTTGACGTAGGCTTTTCGGCCGCCTTGCAAATGTGAATCTTGCACAATGTAGTGCGTATATATTTGCTTCTTATGCTCCTTCAAGTTGTCCTTCAAAGATTCTGAAGACGGAAACGCGGCGAGACTAAAGCGCTTCGTAAAGATTGATTCATTTTCGTTTACAACGCTGGACGGTACCGTCTCTCATCATGGAAATAAAGTAACCCTCCCCCCACTTTCCTCTGTTTTATGGTACTTTTAGATCTCGTGCAACCAATCACTTGGGCTGATTCATCGTGTATTTTGGTTGTAAAACAAGTGACAGGTAGTGAGATGGAACGGGTAGAAATTGACACTTACAAAAATTACTGGCCGTGGATCAAATGTATTTCAACAAATGAAGTCAAAGCTTGGAAAAGTACAATGAGGTTGTGTGATACTGGGAGATGAAGGCAGTGAATAAGTAGTTCGAATGTGAATATAGTAGTGGTGTGAAAGGGGTGGAAAAAATTTTAAAATTCATAAGTAGGGTCATTCATTAAGTTTTCCCTGGCCAAGTCAGGGATAAAAGCTGTACAAATTCCTTCGGAATACAGAGTTTCGAATTGTTCATTTGAATTCCTATCGCTTCAGCCATATTGTAAAAGGCGAAGTCGAACTCCATCGGACAGGTTCGGTGGGATGCGGTAAATAACGTTGAACGTTTCCGTCTCATCCACTCTATGACCACTATTAACTCGATGCGACAAGATAGAGCTTCTTGTAAATTTAACCTTTCCTTTTACCAGCCAAGAAGGTAGGCGTTCGGTAACGTGTTAGATAAGTTGCCTAATTGTATGCCCGACATAACTATCTCCATAAGAGAAATTAAACCGGTGAATACACATGGAAGTGGTGGAACTGGGTAACTTATCCTTCGTTTGACACGAAACAAATCGTTGACTAGAAAACGATAGACAGAGGTCAGTTGTGTAAGTTCTTTTAATGCTTCTTGACAGTCTATGGAGTAGGATCTCACTAAATATATCCACTAACTTGTAGTTTTCTTTTATATCGTCTAGGTAGGAACTAAGGAAGTGTGTATATTGATATGCAGATTTGTTTCTTCTGTACACGCTTCTGCAAAGTGATCCATCTCCTCGTCCACTTAATAGAACATCAAGGAAATTAGACTTACTGTCCTGTTCTTCACAAGTGCGGACAAGTGAAGGATGTATGTTGCTAAAATTCTTCAATAGTTCGTTCTTATCCACATGCTAATCACTGATAATAAACGTGTCATGTTTCACGGATAATCATCATTCAAATGTTGTAGTGAGTTATTAGAGCTGTCGTGCATTTATCTAGGCACCCGACTTTTAAGCAATCGGTTCTGGGTTTGAACCCCCTCTTCCCACCTAAATCATCATCATTTGGTCAGCCAGGTAGTATTATTAGCCCCAGTATTAGGGCTAATTGTTTGGGTAGGATCCAGTCTAGGAGTGAAGGGTGAATTTTGCGAATTCACCATATTAGTCGAGAGAGGTTAAGTGAATAACCGTACTTGGTCCTGAATGCGTGTCTCACAAACACAGCACACATCTCTGGCCTGAGGTGTGATGCAGACTAATCAGTTGGAGTCCGCAGGACAAGAGGAACCAGTGGTTGGAGACTCTAGGTGATGTATCATGGCTCAGAACCGATGTCAGTGGCGCGGATGCGTACACACATTATCTTTGTCTTAACCACTATACTTAATCTCATTTTCCGTTCATTTCTTTTGCTACTTTCTACTTTCCTTCTTCACCTTCCATTTTATTGCCTTTTACTTGGTGTGCTGATATGAGATATGGCAACTTGGACCGTTACGCAGTAATACCTGGTCGTATGTTGATCTTGATTATAACGATGATGATGATGAATTGTTTGGCTCATTGTCTGCTGCATTAACGTATACATGTGATCGCTGAGTTGTATTTTATCTCGATTGTACTGAGCTATGAGGAAAAAATGCAGCTGGCTACCACTATCTAGTGTGTATTTCCGTTTAAAAAGACGCCACCAATTTTATAATTTTTTGTTGATATAAATTTGTCTTATTTTTTTGATCTCATGATTACTATTTCAACCAAAAAATGTTTATATCAAAGTAATAATTATTTTTTCTCTCGATCTAACAGAGGAATATACTTTTGTGCATATCATAATGGACAATTATTTTTCGAAAAATACTTCCAGTCTGGATCTTCAGCGGTCTACTTATGTGCAGCTGGAATCGGAAGTAAGTATTCTACATACATGGATGCGATAGCCGATCTCTTTTTTTAAGTTATTCATCTAGACATCATATTGTTTATACTCATTTCATTTCATTTAATGGGAGGCAAATAGTGTTGTCGAATGAACAAACTGCACTCTTAGCATCTTGAACGGCTCACTATTCCTGAACATTATCCATCAGGTTATTACAATAGATTACTGGTAAAGCTAGGAAGACTAATAGGGCCTCTAAGGTTTTTTAGTCTTGTTGTAAACGGAAGATTATAATGGCACTGTAGTTCTATACGATAAGGAATAAAAGGAATTACGTTATTGTTGCAAGTTTTCGATAAAGAAGCCCACTATTCTCCCTACCTCTTCATTCTGTGATGACGATTCAATTCAGCAAAATATCATTCCTGGTTTACCTAAACCCTATCCTGAAGCTTTCAGACTATGCAACCTGTAGCTACCAATAAAAGGCTTCACTGATCATATTGTATCATCTAACTTATATCTAAAATCAAGCCTGTGTTATTTTTTTATTTGATTTGTACAGTGGGGAATAACTGTCTAAGATCCGTTTAATGCGTGCTTGCAGAGTTGGTGGGTAGCACCTGTAGATTTGTAGAAATGCCGCTGGAACTGAGAGCAGGTAGTACAACTGTCAGCTGTATCGTAGTCACATGCATACATTCTCTTACATACTTTCGAGTAAAGAACACTGGGGGATTGTTATACATTAGTACTCATGGTTACTGTCTGTTTTTGTTCCACCGACGGAAAGATTTCTTCTGGTAGCTTTCCAAACAGATAGAAGAATTCAACGTAGTACTTCGTACACAAGTGCATCGGTCCAAGTTGCCACATTTCACAGAAGTATGCATAAAGCAGGTGGATAGAAAAAGAGTGATATTAAAGTTTAAAAAATGTGCGTATGAGGAAAGGGAATTTAAAATAAAGGTTTATCAGAACATTCAAGCCTTAGAAGACATCAAAGAGTGAATCCATTTGCACCACTATGACAAATTTTCATCCATTCCACCAAGAGTTCTATCCAGCTGTGATTAGTTGAATTCACCGACGTCATGGTCCAGTTTCTTTCAACACAACACGCAGGTATATAAACAGACAGACGAGTCAACGTAGAACCTAGCACATAAATGCGTTGTTTCAAGTTGCCATACTTTACAGAAGCATGCAAGGGAAAAGTAAATCGAAAAGGTTGGATTAAAGTAGAGGAAAGTGTATGGGAATAATCATATAAAGGTGAAGGAAAACAATCAAAACTTCGAAGATGACAAAAAATGTATGCGTATTCACTATTGGGACCGATTTTCAGCCACATCACCAAGTGTCTTCAAACATGGATTTTTATTAGCTTGAGGATACCAGCCAGGCAGCCTACACCTCCACACAGGGCTAAGATGAACAGTCCGAGACTTCATAAACTGGTGTCACCTCTAAGTCTGCCCACTCTGAGCTTTCTTTCAACCCAATTCAACTTCGACTAACACTGCAGGTCAAGGTAGGCGGTGGCTGGGCATGCACAACACATGTTCAAGCTACTTTGATGGATGAAGCTTCACAATCTTATCGATCGACTCTCCTTCCTTTCCTGTTACCTTTCACCTAACGTTGACACTATTTACACGGTGATTTCACTATGTATGAAAAGTTACGAAATACCTATGATCAAAGACAGCCTCTCTCTACTACTTTCAGCGACCTTGTCTCAAAGCTGTACAATAGCTGCACAGCGCAGTACACTAATCTTTTCGTAGGTATTCGGATATCTGACTGATGAACAGATGAAAAAAATTGGAAAGCACCAAACTGGCTTTCTGAATCCGGCTGAGATTATGTCAGCAATCAACCCGTTCGACTTGATGCAACTCCTGAATTAAGTGAAGTGACCGGGGCATTCGACTACTTGACTCTCTGTCCTTAAACTGGGAGTGGTTGTAGATCAGTCGTGAGGGATCATCTTTACATTTGAAATATGCGAAACGCATGCCAGCCAAACAAGGTGTTCAGAGGACTCTACAGTTTTACAACATCCTCACTTAAGTATTTAATCTTAGTGAACGGCAAAACTGCCGTATGTATCTTTCAAAAAACCAACTTGTTAAGTCGGGTGTAGTGGTTATGCTCAGCAAGTGTATTCCAGTTATCACTTTTTCTTGGTTAGCATAAACCTTAATCAATAAACATTAATGAAAATTGTTTTCATTTATGACCATCAATGTCACTGGAAGGTATGTGGATTGAAGGGATCGTAGCAAATTAACAACACAAATTTTCAAATAACCTAGTGATTTCTGCACTTTTTCATGGAAATGCCAGGGTGCTTGGGTTATGAAAGCGGAAGCAACTGGAACATAATTATTAATGGCCTACTCAACCCTTGGGATCATAAGATGTTGAAAATCAAGGAGCTTGAGGTACTGTCGGTATCTAGCGACAAATGAGGGTAGTGGTTAAAAAAATTGATTTAATAGATGATTAAAGTGTTAAGCAAAAGAAACCTATTATTCCTTGTTAGAATAGGTGGTTAAGATGATGAAGTCTATACATTGTCAGTATTCCAAATTGCTGCCATTCATTCGCAGAATTCGTCAGTGTACTGTTGACAGTTAGTCTTCTAGTTCTGTATGCAATTATTTATTGTCATTAGTGTCCTTCGTTCTGATTCCATTTTCTTAACCAAAAGTATAGCAGATCAAATTTTAATTCACTTTTCTACTAATTAAACACTGGGACATGAACTGGCTAAGTGTATTGATCCTCTCTTTTTCTTTGTTTTCGAGTTGTGTCTCAACGTGAACCAGTGCACTCTCGTGTCACGCTTTATATCCTGTCTTTGCATCGCTTGTTGATAAATGAGGTGAAAATATATAAGGTGACAGGATTCGAAGCAGTGGCGTGCTTCGGATCCTGCTAATATCTAGATTTTCAATTCGGTTCCAGTCATCGTATGAGAACTAATTTACTCAACTACGGTTATCTTGGATAGTCTCATCACCTTTCTGTCTTCTATTCAGTACTCAATGTTGATTTTTGTATTGACTTTTGATCAGAAATTACCCTGAAATGTTCCATCCTTTTTATTATCTATTCATGAATGTACAGCTAAGAGAATGATTTCTTCTCTGCAATCGTAGGTGTTTACGCAGTCATCTATTCTTTGTCTCTATTAAAATACATACATTACTTCTTAGCTTGATGGTCACGTTGCGAAATGATTGGTAGGATTCGGTTCACACTCGGTATTGGACAACGTGAAATTAGTTGCTCTTCAGCGACTAATCAGTGCGTCTAATCCGTGGAGGTTAGTGGGTGACGCAGGTTCGAATCCAACAGGGGACATCAGTTCCCTCAAGACTGCAGATATGCCTTACTTGGTGAGTGCGAACAAGGGTTTCCTGTCGATCACCTCCCACAAACTAACATTCAGTGCATGTACTTATGATTACCAGCTTTTCACAGCAAATCCATTGACGTGTTTTTCATATTTCTTATTGACACCTTGGAATGCGGCGTATTTGTCTAGGCACATAGCTTCCAACCAGATAATACCACTAGCCTTCACATACACTAGGTGGGATCCATTGACTACTGCATGAACATGCGCTTAGTTGCTGGGCTTATTTCGATTTCCTCTACTCTGAAATATAGTCGTTATGCGTATTTATTAGTTTCATTAGTAGCATATATATTTGGAAAACCTTACAATCTTTTATTTACTACTGTTCTAACGTGACTGTTTTCCAGGCATAACAGCTTCTTCCCTAACCAATCCTATTTGGTTTGTGAAAACAAGACTTCAGCTTGATTCAAGGCAAGTAGAAATTTTATCAATCGGCTTTTGTACATTCTATTTGATGTTGTTGGTAAAAAAGACTACGTTAATATGCTCTTTTTTTGTCACATTTTCGATATTTTAGAATCCAGATGTAATGTAATGCAACTCAACAGTGTGTTGGAAAATTCGTACAATTCTCTCTGCTCATAAACTTGAACAACTCCTACACTTGTTGTCCTTGCGTTGTTCAGCCTTAGCCCGGTTGAAGTTTATTTACCAGTCTGTGTGTGTGTGTGTGTGTGAGAGAGAGAGAGAGTCTGACAGTAACTGGTTGTGTAGAACAAAGTCGAGTGTCCAAACCAGTATAAAGTGTATCTTACTTCAACTAATAATGGCACAAAAAAAGGCTGGAATGTTTTTTAAAACCAATTAAATTAGTTTGCAGGAAACCTTATTTAGCACATTGATAAAAAAAAGCGTGGTCATTATTCAGATTGCGTTGTTTTCTAATCCAGGGTTTCGGTCTGCATATGTACATCACTGCTTCACAAGGATCTGGAGCACTGATTGAAAATGTCTAGTGTGATGTTGAAACGTTTACCACCAGAAACCTTAACTTAGAGGATACCTAGTTCTGAACATCCGTATCTAGCTACAAATATTCTCCACCAAAGTGGCTATTATTAGTACTGGAAGGTAAAAAATCAATGGTGTTATAAACACAAAAAATTGTAAAGGAACACATGAAAGGAAAATAAAAAAGGAATAACGAATATGAATGAAAAAAGTGTGACACGCTTAATTATGTGTTCAACATAGAATCAAAATGGGGTTGTCACCAAAACGTTTGCCACGAGTATATGAGACCGTGAAATGAAAAGAAACAACGAAAAGCTGTTTGATTAGGGAAGCATTTCTCTAAAATACGTTAGAAACGCTTTCTTTGCTTCTCAAAAATGCAGGTTACCAGGAAACTACAATCTAATCACCACTGCTTTCTGGAAAATGTTTGCGCTATTAATTGCTTTGACACTATTGTCTGACTGGCTAACCGTTTCTTCAGTCAGTTCCAACAACCAGCAGTGACCTGGAGTTTTATGATCAATGTAGAACCTCGTACACGATTACATCAGTTCAAGTTGCCACACTTGACAGCAGGGTACAAAGGAAAAGTGGATAGTGAAAGAGTGATATCAAAGCACACAAAGGTGCAAAGGAAGAAGAAAATGAGTGTACAGATGACGGTTAGTGAAACTGTTCAAGCCTCAGAAGACGTCAAAGAGTGAATAAATCTGTTCCATTCTGACCGATTTTCAGCTATTTAACCAAGAGTCTTCAACTGCTAATTCCAATGGTAGACGGGCTAATCAGAATGTCAAAGATTGAGAACAAAGATAGATACATGAAAGAGATCCATAATTGATTATTTGCTGCTCTCATTCTCTCTGGCTACGGATGTAACTGGGACAGAACAAACTGCAACAGAGTATACTTGCATTTTACAAGGTAGTCACATATCTCGCCGGCGCAACAGATGACGCAAATTCGAAAATGCCAAACTGTCCAACTTAAGGTTTCACCAGTAACGAACCCGTTAGGGCTGATGCAACTCCCCAAGTGAGTGGAGGGTCGACAGATTGCACCACCTCATTCTCTATCCTTAAGCTAGGAGTACATGCAGCAGACCAGTCCTGGAACATTGTCTTTCATTTAACAGGTGCGAAATGCATGCCAAATATACTTCTGATCAAGGCGTTCAGAAGATCCTGAATTTTGTCAGCGTCCTTACCTAGCATGACAGTATCGTCTGCATATTCCAAGTCAACTAGGTGACCTCTAGAGAGCAGATCAATCCCTGTGAAACCAGACGTACGTAAGGTTATGTCTATTATTGCATCTCTAACGAAATTAAACAGGAACTCCGACGGTGGGGATCTCTGGCGGACACCACTAGATAAGATTTCTCCATAAACCCTTACACCACTGCGTGAGGGTGATCAGAGAATATTTGACCTGCGTCATATACCTACTCGGTACTCTTTCCACAGTCAGACACTACCACAACATCTCACTTTCGACCGAGTCAAGTACCGCCATCAGGTCAGCAAATACGGGAAGTGCCAGCCACTGACCGGTAGGTATACTTGTGTTTCAGAACATGCCGTAGGGTAAAGATATGATCGATCACCCTCGTCCAGGTTCATCTGACTGGTTTTCCAAACAGGTGCTGCAAAAAGAGTAGCGAGCCTTTCCAATAATGGGTTTATAGTAATATGATCTATTTGTGTCCGTCTCTGGTTTGATGTGACAGCGTTTCTCTTCATGCTTAAAGTTAGTGCTGGCTAGAAGCAAAGTGATTGTCAGAACAAACTTGTAAGAGACCATCACCTTTGCCGACTCGTTGGCATGGGATTCCGCAGACATCCCGAAGATGCCTTTCCTATTGGCTCAGCTTCCCTACTTGAGCATCAAAGTCGTCTGCCATTGACTACATCTGAACATTTAAGTTTATTCAGCAAAATTGACAACTTTTGATAAAACTTCTGCTTTGTATCATCCAACTGCTATCGGTGGGCGTGTAGACAAAAGTTATGAATAGTCGTCAGTTGGTCTCACGACCCTTTCTAGTTCTGACAGATCCATTTAGTCGGATAGCACACAGATGGCTGTTTACTGGTATCCAGTCGAGGAATGCATTCTTTGGTCGACAACGCAATGCTGTACATGCACCAGTGAGTCCATGAGAGCTAGCCACTGGGTATCCGGATACTCGTAAAGTGAATTTCGAAGATTCATTACAATGGTCATATGAAGTCAAGTGAATAACCACACTCGTGTCCCGTATACGTGTCTCAAAGACACAACATTGATCCATAGCTTCAGATTCCAGAGTTCTGATGCGCAACGCCTGCTGTCTGATTCGCCATAAGGCTAGGGTATTGAGAGCTCCAATACGAAATTGGCAGTGGAGTTCCGGAAGACTATGAATGGGGTTTCGATGGCTCTGATCGTTGGCAGTGGTTGTTAAGTGAGAGGTTGGAAAAGGTGCAAGAGGCTTAGTACACTACTAAAGGCAAATGAGGCGACAGCGTTGGGGAGGATAGGTTATGTTTGATTGAGGCTTGCATACGATTTGATTATTCGAACACCGGACTTAGAAAACCCAAACAGCTGGTATTGGAGGAGTGTCCTATTATGGGGCCAATCTTTTGTAACCCCTCTCCTCATTGGGAAGGTAGCATCAGAAACATACTGCTGGTCATCCACGAGAGACATTTTACTGGTGTCACACCCAGCTAGCAGTGTGACTTTGCTGTCGGACCGTCATTATATCGTAGCGACTGACACTTTGACTGTAACTGCTTTCCGCCTCATCACTATCCAACAAACCTTTCTGGCATCGTAGGACTTTGGTAGAACTAGGGGAACAGCCAGTGTAGCCCGTTTGGTCATTGTAATATACAAGCTCGACCACCACGTCAAGGTGGTGGTGAGTAACACAGCTATCGCATGGGAGCTGGTGGTATTATATGATTGGGGTCTAAACGTCAAACCCGTGACCCACTGATTTGAAGATCATGTGTCTAAGCCAAGGGATCACAGCTGACACTTGTTAATAAGTACACTTTAAAGCGTATACGTGGCAGTCTCATGAGTTTGTTGTTGTGTGGTCGGTCCTTTTTGCACAGATATTTTAAAAATCTGATTTATTTTTAAAAATTATACATTTTGAGCCATATTACTGGGAGTTTCCAACCTGTGGCTCCTGTCACTCCGAAGACGCTGACCAGGTGACCGACACTTCTATGGACGATTCAGATCAACAGTCATAGATCTCTTGAATTAGTGCCACGTAGAGTTGTGGCTCATTAGCTTAGGTAGTCGACTTTCAGCTATTGGGTCTAGGATTCGTCGCAGCCACCGAGGTATATCACTAGCCCTCACAAAATAGGTGTGGCTCATTGGCCGTTGCGCGAACGTGCACGTTCTTGCTGTGTTATTTTCAATTTCGCCACGTAACCGTGGATTCCTTGCAACCTAATCCTATTTCTACCAGTAAGGTGCATCGAAGTGGGGATGGATCCTCGCGCGCAAGAAACGCCTAAGCCATCTGAGTTGATGAAGGTCCACAACCCCTTTGATTAGCTGACGTTTCATATCTGGTGTTCTATGAACAATCTCGACATTGCTCATAGTAATATTTAGACACTAATCATTAAGATAATCTAAATTCTAAATTGCTTAAGCCGCTGACTTTCAGTTGACAATGCATGTTTATTCCGAACAAGGTTATCCATTTCAACGTGATTTCCTGTTAGTCAGACTAAGCTGTCGGATTTCACCCGAAAGTAAGGTACAGTCACATTTCCCCTGTCTAGTCAATTGGGAATTGTATTCCCCTTTTTCTGTTGATCCTATGGAGGTGTAACTCAGTGACTTTCAAACAATAGGTTATCTGTTCGAATCCCGCTGCAGCTAATTCAATCTGAGCGGCCGGTTAGTATCATAACATCCACACAATTAGTGTGGTTTGTAATCCATTACATAAACCTTTACCAGATTACATTCCTGTGGTTTATTTACAAAGAAAGTATGGTATAAAAGGTACTTATCTACTGGCAAGTTTTCATTGGTTAGAAATGTAACTGTAAAACTTTAAATATTTTTGAAACGATGACCATAAATACTGTTCTAATAAAAGTTCTTTCTCATCTATTATTGATATATATAGACCAGGTCATTCCCCTATTACTGTATCACAAATAATCCGCAACACTTGGAATAGAGATGGATTCCGTGGCTTCTATCGTGGTGTAAGTGCATCATATTTTGGTTCCCTGGAGACAGCTTTAAATTTTGTAGTCTATGAAAATTTTAAATCTGAACTACTGTGGAAAGAACATAAACGTAGACAAAATTTGGCGCTTAGTACTCCTACTATTCCTGTTTCAAATTATGATAGTCAGCCACTCAGTAATGAATCTGGACCTCAAAAAGCTTCAGATCTCCGTGGTTCCACTGGTGGAAGTAAATTATCAGCTTCAAAAGATATGATACTATGCATGATTGCTAGTGCCTGTTCTAAAGCAATTGCTATCACCGCTCTTTATCCTCACGGTGAGTATGTTACTGATATCAGTATATCACTTATTTATTTTTTGTCTTCTGTGACAATAATATTCACAGATGTAGTATATGCTAACTAATAGTTAATTAGTTTCATTAACCCTCATACGTTCAGTTGTGGTTTATTATCCGATACACAAACCTTTGCATGATTGCTAAGTTACATTTTTCATTTTATTCATCAACAAGGATCACCTCACAGGATCAAGTCTAGAGCCCTCTTGTCATATATCTAACAACCTACCATTTAGTTACTTGGTTGAAAATCACAAAATGCAAAGTTGAAATGTGATCACCAACTGGATACGCATTCATGCTGTAGGCAATGAGCCATACCTATGATATGAGACCTAGTCGCTGAGACTTCTGTGGGCGGAGTAGATTTCCAGCCTAGGACCCACTAGTTGAAAGTTGAATACCTAGGTCATTGAGCGATAGCTATGCTTCATGATATCTCGCGACCATCACTCAATATCACTAGTAAGCAATTCGTCTACAACTAGTAGTGTGTGGCTAAAAACGATCGCACATCCTTCTTGATTCTCAAGTACGTCATCACTCTGTGGTCCTACCGTTTCTTTTATTTTCAGAAATTCATTTTACATTCTTCAGAATTTTGCTAGTCGATAGCTCAGAAACGACCTTGAGAAACCGAATCGCCTGTTGATCAGTCACAGCATTTGGTACATAATTTGTTTAGCGAAAAGTTATGTTTGTCTCATTTTTAGTGTAAGTCACACCCTAACCGATTAACAGAGGTGATCGGAATGGATTTGATCTTATTTTTACCAAGTTATATCTTTTTACATTTTAGTCACATCATATGATTAAAGGTTGTCATGTGATGTTTATCAGGTCTAGGTCACTAAACACAACTTACATCCTGAGTGGTTGCAAGTTTGCCGAGAATTAACGTGAAGGCCACTCCACCACTTACTTTTAACCTTAGCGTTATCGGGTCAGTACTCAGAAAAACACTTATTCTTTATAGTCAGACAGATGTGGATGTAACCCACCAAAACAGTATATATTTGTATAGTGTTTGAAATCACCCACCGGTACTTATAATATTTGATTCAGTTGTAAATATTTTGGAATGGAAACTGGGTAGACTTCTACGGTTTAAATGGCTTTTGTTCTGCATACATTGATACTGAATGATAATAAGCATAAATCATGTGATCTCACCAGTGTAAACAAATTGACAAACAATAAGTAGTAGACACAACCTGACCTTCATACTGGTTGTGAAAATAAGACCAATTAGGATGCAAGAAATGCCTAGCGACCTAGACCGATATCACATAAACAGGACGTGAAACAAATAATAACCTCGTAAACATAACTGACTAATAAGGAGTGAAAAAAGGATACAAATGTTATTAAGATATGAACGTAAAGTAAGTTACACGGCGAATAGAACTAGCAATGTGTACAATCTAAATTCAGACTTCATTTTAAAGATAAACACCTAAGAAGTTAGTTACCACCGTCTTAACACTTATATTAAAGATGGGTAGAAATGGTGAGAGCAAATAAAGATTTACTTCTTGATAACTCTTTCAATAGATTCTTAGACAAAATTGAATATTCATGTAGGCAGGCATTCAGTAATTGACTTTATATTTCTTATACAATTTTGGGAAAAAGCTAGTTTCTACTCACCCTTTATTAGGTCAACTAGGGTTAAGCATCGTGTGTCTGTTTTCAAAAAGGTTGATGGGAGGTGACAACCAGATTGCAGTATCTTCATGTATTATGTAACAAGTTATGAGTCATACTCGTCGTGTGTGTGTGTGTGTGTGTGTGTGTGTGTGTGTGTGTGTGTGTGTGTGTGTAAGGACTAACCATAGTATCCTGTTGCTCAGGCTAAGGTAGGTAGAGTTAGATTTGAGCTGGAGACCCTTTGGTTGGAAGTCATGTACTTTAGTCAATAGGCCTCTGGAACTTATGCCCGATGTCCTTTCGACCTTCATTTACCCACTGAAATTCTTCTAAACTTTTGAATCATTTCACCAACATAGACGGTTGTTCCATATTAACCCCGTATACTTATTATTATTACTCGTATTATGCATTTTTATTCTCCATCTCTTCCAACCCAATAGAAGTGGTTCGAACTCGACTGCGTGAAGAAAGCGGTCAATATCGTGGATTTTTTCGTACTCTGCTTACAGTTGGCAAAGAAGAAGGCATCAGTGGCCTATATCGTGGTATGGCAACACATTATATTCGTCAGGTACCCAATTCTTGTATTATGATTGGAACTTACGAATTCGTTGTCTTTCTGCTACAGTCTTGGGATTAACCAAAGATACCAGGGCACAGTAGCCGTTGCCTTTATCTTCTACTTAGAGAGGTTACTTCTTGAGTTCTTTTTGTATGTGCGTTCCTTCTATTTCTTCATTAATTTGTACAGAAATCAGTTTACTGTAATCAGCAAATTTATGATTTCATTTCTGGAGTTGTCTTATTATCACTATTATTATTATGATGATTGTTATCATCATTTCTTATTTTTGAGTTATTTTCACCACTGAAATCGCTTGTTGCTCATCAGAGGGAGAAGTAGTGAAAAGCGAGGATCTCATTGGGAAGCAGAGGGAGGGGAAGTAAAGCAGATCCACTTTTAACTTCCGTTATAGACTCATTTTAGATTTATTTCCAGAAATTTTGTTTTCTATTATCAGTGCTAATATATTATTGTCATTGAAGTGATTTGTAGAAAAAAGAAAACAGTAGTTGAAACGAACTAATATCCCGTGTGTGGGCTCATGTGTCCTTATTTTTTATACATCCTCTGTATTCCTCATTGTCCGACTATTTCACATTTCTACTGTCTTTTAGTCTTCGTTTGGTTTATCGGAGTGAGACATTTTATCATCCTGTTACCTGTCATTGCTGCTGCTGCTTTCGTTGTATAGAATCACAGGAATGCAGTAGAAAATGAAGTAAAGTGATAAATTGACGCCATTTGTGTTTACTATTGTATAAAACATGTGGATACTTCGAGCATACATTGTTGTGTAAATGTCAAACCTCTTCACCTGTTGCTGTCCATCATAAACGCTGTATTCTACTCTTTCTGGTCTTCTTCTTGCTGGTATGCGGTGTATACGACCGTCTCTCCGTTTATTGTTCCTTCTTTCGCTGATTTTTGCTACTATTATTATTATTATTATTATCATCACTTACTGTGGTTTCTATTTTCTTTTCTCCTAATTATTATACATCTCTGCATTTCGAATTTGTTTTGTAACATAAAGTCTGAACAAAAAAGAACTACACGTTTAAGAGAAAAGCGTTTCTTTTATGTCGTATTCAACGTGTGAAGTGCTAATGCCCACTATTTTGCTTTTTATTATTACTACTACTACTGCTATCATTACTACTCATTTTGTAGAATAAAATATTTGACTCCTTTGGTTCGCTTAGTTTATGGTATAGTGAAATTCGTTCTCATCGGGGTTTGTGATTGAAAGATGTAGCATATTTCACAGGTGTAAATCAAACACCTGACTACCAAGTGAAGCAGTATGTTTCATAAATGATTTTTGAGTTTATACCTAGCTTACTGCATACTTTGAGTAGCTATATAAGCGAATTGATTCTATGGGAGACAGTTTTGATCAGAAAATGATAGAATCTGGAGGACCGCTGAAACCCTCGGGGGTGTAAACTGTCTGCTTAGTTCTAAGATCAGCAATTCATACCTAATGGCTCACATCTGATTGAGCTCAAGACCACCATATCTTTCAGCGAACGCGTTATCGTTCAGTCACTGGGTTGGAATCGCATAGTTGAGGTTTCCCGGTTTTAGTCAATCTGAAAGGTAGCGCGGTCATCACCTAGTGTCAGATAGGTTGTCATTTTTCGGTAGTACTGATACGTATCCACATAATTCATGGTTTTTGATTAGAACTTCAGGAACTCCGTCTTGAAGCTAGTCACTATAATGATCGTAACTGGCTTAAGTTTTCAAATCAAATTTCTTAATTTAAAGTTTTAGGAGTAGTCTCGGGAAAATACTTTTCCCCTTCGAATCGATATATAAGCCTTGAGTTGTATGTCTGAGGTGCCTTCCGTTTTTTCTCAATGCGTCATGACTCTTGGAGGAGTCGTGGGTGTGTGCTGCTGATCAGTCCCATACTAGTCCGAAACGGCTGTCCAGTGCTTCCAGGTTTTCTATGGTTATCCAACTGATATCAGTCCATGGTGAATGTTACCTCAAAATTAAAATCCCCATTGACCTCAAAATACATTACTGCATGGTGCTCATTAGTGACGTGCTTCGGGATGCATATCCCGAAGTTCTAATCAGAAACCGTGACCTGTGGGGTTAACCAAGTTGGTAGTGGAGCGGATGCTAACTGAAGACCTTGGTGGATAGTCGCGAATTGACAAAATTAGGAAACTGTGTGATCCGATCCAGTGACTAGGATGGTTAGTGCGTTGGTCGAGAGACCTGAAAGTTCGGTCACGGTTGTATACTGCTAAGGACTCTCATGCTAGGACGGGACAGCTGTTCATCGCTCCGAGGATTTTAATGGTTCTCCAACTGATTTCAGTTCGTGACGAAATCTACCTTGAAATATATATATATATATATATATATATATATATATATATATATATATATATATATATATATATATATATATATATATATATATATGCGCCAGACAGAAGTGATTTAACAGGTAAGTGGCAAAATTATTGATGTAGGGAGGCAGAAGATGGTAATGGTTAATGCGTAAAAACGAAATACTGAGGAATATCCAAACTTAGACAGTTCAGAAGTTTAATTTGAGTCAGATGAGAAGATCGAACTGGAAAAACCTATAGACAATGCTTTTGTTTATCTTCTCGGTAAACAACCTTAAGTTATCTAACTATCGGATGTATTGATGATTTAAGGAGTTAAGGATGAGTAGAAACCAAGAAAAGGATGTTGACTTCTAATGATACTTTTTATATTGTAGAGTTTGTGTTTGGCGTTTGTACTGTTCAACACGATGTGGGAAATATCATTGAACCGAGGATTCCGATAACTCTATCAATTCGTATGAAATGTTTTTAGGTGGGGGTATATTTCGAACTATTCAAATACTTCTCTTAAATTCTTACTTGTATGCGAACATTATCGAATTCTCTAGAATTCCGTCTAAAGTTGTTATGAAATCCACTTGGATTGTGGAATCACAATCATAAGCACTCACAACCAGTAATTTATTACTTTCATGTTTCCAATCCAACCGGTCACTTTGTAATTATCGAAAGATCCACTTATATCTACATTTTAGCTGCTTAGGAGTTGATTTATACCATATTGTTCCGTTTCATTAGATGTATTTCAGGTTGAAATTTTAATTGTCGTTTTCCACCGGACAGCGTTTCGAGATACTGTATATTGTCCATAGTCATTATCGAGATACCTATAAATCATGTCTCAAAGTTGTGGAGTTACCTTGATTGGTTGTGGACAATAAATTATGACCGAAACGTTGTTCAGTAAGTAGTACTGTTTCACTATGTGATGTATCTGATAAACAAACTGCGATTGAAGTATGACTTTGAATGGTGTAATTAGAACGCGAAGTTAACCTGATCAATGTGTGATATATTCGCGCAATACATTTTGAACAGTCTGATCTAAGATTTACTTTCAAGTCAGTTTATATAAAACCGAAAAATGGAGCACGATAATAGGGGATTAAAATTAGGAAGGATGAAATACTCGGTCCTGGTCGTGGTTATAAATACAAACTTCACCACAGCCAGTGTACTGTAAAGATAAATTACTTTTGTACACGACCGATAGCTGCTACCTTGACGTGGTGGTCGGGCTTGCATATCACAATGACCCAACGAGCTATGCTGGTGGAACGCTTGTTCCCTCGAGGTCCTACCATACCAGAAAGGTCTGTTGGGTAGTGGTTAGACGAAAAGCAGTTACCGTTATAGTGTAAATTGCTACACTATGATGGGGGTCTGAGGGCGAAGTCGTACTGCTGCTAGCTGGATGGGGTGTGACAGCAGTAAGGTGTTTCCCTTGGATGACCAGCAGTGCCAAGCTGATGCTGCCTTCTCAGTGGAAGGGGGGGTTAGAAAAGGTCGGCCCCAAAAATAACACACTCCACCACGCCCCACGGTCTGCCGGGCCGGCGGTGTTGGTTCACTTGTCGTTTCCTTTCGCTCATCCGGCCCCAAAAATTCAAAATAATCATACTCAAAAGGCTGGGTGTGACAGGCCTCAAGCAGATGTCCGATGGGCTCTGCGGTCACACAAATCTCTTTCAGGTACCTTAAGAAGAAATAGCCTTCCACGGTGTGGGCAGCCGGGAAGTGTCAACCGCCCTCACAACTCTGTCAGCACCCAAGTTTCTTCTGACTGCTATCCTCCTCCTCCATCATTACCTTCTAATCTTCCTTCACGTCTCTTAATTAATGATGCTGCATCATCTTCAATTTCTCCTACCTCTGCAGCCTTCGACAACGATCTGAGTCCACAGAACAGTGCCCTGGTCTCCTTAAACCACGCTCCAAATTACATATTGGAGCCTTCAATGTCCGCACCCTCCGTCAAATTGGCCAACAGGCTTCGTTGGCAAAGACTCTAGCAACTCGGGCATGGATGTGTGCTGTGTTTGTGAGACACGCATACAGGACCCAAGTGTGGTTATTCACCTGACCTCTCCTGACCAATCTGGTGAATCTGCAAAATTCACCCTTCGAGTTTCTGGAGATTCGATAGCTAGCTCTCGTGGTCTTGCAGGTGTAGGTATAGCATTAAGCACCAGGGCAGAAAACTCACTACTAGACTGGATCCCAGTTGATAGTCGCCTCTGCGCTATGAGGCTGAACGGCACAGTGAGAACTAAAAGGAATAGTGAGACTCGCCGTTGTCTCTTTGTAATCTCTGCTTACGCACCCACTGACTGTAGTTCGGATGAAGTGAAGGACGAGTTCTACCATAAACTGTCTAACCTCCTCTCGAAAGCCAAACGTTCGGACGTAGTGGTTGTTGCAGGTGACCTCAACGCACAGGTGGGTAGACTGAGTGAGGCAGAAAGGCACTTAGGTGGCACTTTCGGAATCCCAGCTGAACGTACAGATAACGGTGATCGCCTATTACAACTATGCTCAGATAACCGCCTATTTTTAGCCAGCACAAATTTCAGACATAAAGAAAGGCACTGTCTGACCTGGCGTCCACCGAGCTCGACTCAGCGATGGACACAGATAGACCACATTGCTATTAGTCATCGCTGGAGAGGATCGGTGGAAGACTGCCGCTCCTTCTGGAGTACGTGTTTGGACAGCGATCATGCGTTGGTCCGAGCACGTATATGCCTGCGTCTCAATGGACGTAGAAAAAATTTGGCAACAAAACCACTACGAGTTCTGCTGGACAACGAAAACACCAAAGCCGTGTTCAGTGAGAAGTTGGCTAGGCAGTTATCGGAACAAAAGACTGTCACTCATCCAGAAGAAGCTTGGTGCCATCTTCAGTCTACTGTAAAAGCAGCACTGGAGACTGTAGCCGACTCCAAGATAATGGCTAAAAAGAGCCAGTGGATATCAGCAGCTTCTTCCAAACTAATGGATGCACGTGAATGCATCCCTGCAGGCTCTGAGTACAATGAAGAGCGAGCGCAACTTAAAAATAAACTGACGAAAAGTCTGCGCAACGATCGTGAACAGTGGTGGGCAGCAAAGGCTAAAGAGATGGAAAAGGCAGCGGCGATCGGTAACAGTAGACAGTTATTTAGACTTATTAAGGAGACTGGGGGGAAATGGTCAACAACAGTTAGTGAGGTTATAGCGGAGAAGGACGGATCGGCGATTCACTCGCAGGGAAGGCGACTGGGACGATGGGCAGAACACTTTGAGGAACAGTTTAACTGGCCTCCAGCCACCATTGCGCTGCCCGCTATCCAGTCGGACCCTGAATGGGACATAGAGACAGGTCCCCCAACACTAGAAGAAGTTGAGAAAGCGGTAGGTAGCCTGAAACGGGGAAGGGCAGCAGGACCAGACGGACTACCTGCTGAGGTATACAAGAATGGTGGTAGAGTTCTCTTAGTCAGGCTAACGGAAGTGTTAGCCAGTATATGGGAATCAAATACGATCCCCTCCGACTGGTCTAAGTCACTGATCATCCCAGTCTTCAAGAAAGGCGAGAAGTCCTCTTGTGATAACCACAGAGGAATCAGCCTGACAAACATAGTGTCTAAGATCCTAAGTTCTATAATTCTCCGACGCCTGAGTGGAGCTCGGGAACAGCAAGCCCGAGAAAACCAGGCAGGCTTTAGACCTGGCCGTGGATGTATCGACCAAATATTCACACTGCGCCAGGTCCTGGAACATAGGCATGCTTACAGACGCCCGACAATAGCTGTATTTCTCGACCTGAAGGCGGCATTTG